GAATGCTATCATAATGAAACCATCTTGAACCTTGAGCCAGGCCCGCTCAATACACATTCTACCCTGGGAGTCCGTAGGGCATTACCTCCAAGGTTGCGTCAGGACCTTGGGCTAGTGAGGCAAAGCCCCCTGCTCAACCGAGGGAGTTGGTAGAGCTCCCAACAAGCTATCCTACATGATTCCATATGAAAAACATTCCCAAACATCCTCTAAAAGTCAACACTTTCAAGGTGATAACTAAGACAATAGCCACAACAAAAACGGACAAAGATAACATGATGGAAAAGACACCAAAGACACCGCACTACCTGCTTAATATTCAAACTGTCAACCTTTTGAATATTCGAAACAAATCAAAGTCCTGGACTCACTGTCCAAACTCCAGAGGCAAAAACATAAAAACTCAAAAGGATATAGAAAAACCAGTACAAAGAACAAATTACAGACAAGTGAAAAACACTGTTCGACTTCAAGACTTTATCTAACCCAGGCGATGTAACCCCCTGAAGGACTAAAGTCCAACCCCGAAGTCTGGGTTTCCCCGGGATCACACCACCCATCACAGTTTCCAACTAGACTCTATAAAACCAACATCAGATGAACATATCCAAGTTCTAACACCACAGGATTCCAACATCCAACTCTCCAGAAGAACCATCTACAACTTCAAAATGAACATCAAACTTTCCTCAACTCCTTGTTCTTGCTGAAGGAGACTAAAAAATATAAATCCGAGCCGAAAACGTTCAGTCACCACTTTCAACACATTATCAATTCTTTAAAACACTACCAAATCTAGAAAAACTAATGCTAGAAGACACTTCGACCAAAACTTCGACATAGGCGGTCAGTCAGAGCGTACATGGCATTCTCAAATCCCACACGACACCGGCCCACTCACTGTCTCTGTCCGGCTCCTGGTTCTGTCCTCCGTCCGTCCGGCGTCTTCCCCTGATCCCTGGCCGATGTCTCCGGGTCTCTCCCGGCCCCGCTCTGGTCCCTGTCGACATCCTTCCTCTCCTGCGGCT